ATTGTACTAATTACTTCACAAAGTGTAGAATTCCTTCCCAACTTTATTTCCAAGACACTTTTTTTTGACATTCATTTATGCTGCTAAATATCATAACTAGTTGTGAGAGGCGTTTACAGACACACAAGTGAAGAGAGTGTTCTGAGAAGGTGGAACAAGTACTATGAGGAGCAGATTGATGAATGAAAATGAGAGAGTGAGAAGAAAGGCGTGAGGGGAAAGTGAGGGCAACTATGAAGAGGATGAAGAGCGGAAAGGTGGTTGGTCTACATGACAAACCTGTATAGAGATGTCTACTAGAGGGGGCAGTGGATTTTTTTTATCCAGACTGTTTAACATGATCTTGGAGAGTGAAAGGACATCTGAGGAATGGAGAACTGTAGTGGTACTGGTTTTCAGTAACGAGGGAGCTGTAGTAACTACAGAGGGATAAACCTGATGAGACATGTAGAGAAAGTAAGAAGAGAGGTGATGATCAACAAGCAGCGGTATGACTACATGCTGAGAAAATGCACTCCAGGTGAGAGCCTTTCTTCGACAGTGTTGATGGAGAAGCATAAAGAGGGTCAGAGGAGTTCCACATTGTCTTTTTGGATCTAGAGAAGGCAAAGTGGGTACCAGAAGAGGAACTGTGGTAATACCTGGGTATGAGGAAGTTAGGAGTGGCAGAGAAGTACCAACAACGGTGGTACTATGAGGACAGTGAGACATTGGTGAGGTGTTTGAAGTTGGGTGGTGGGATTGCATTAAGGATCTGCTCTGAGCCCTTTGTTTGCAGTCCTGATGCACAGGTTGGCAGATGAGGTCAGGCGGGAGTCTCCATGGTCTATGATGTTTGCACATAACATTGTTGTAGTGAGTGTGAGAGTACTGAGCAGATGGAAGTGAGGTTTGAGAGGTGGAGGTATGCTCTGGAGAAAAGAGGAATGAAAGTTAGTGTAGAAGGACATGGAGAGGGTTGGCGTGACAGTAGGGGATAATAGGTATAAGGTAAGAGGTTGCTGTGGCAACCCCTCCAAGGGGGGTCCAAATCACACGATGGATCTAAGATGACCTAGCAGCAACCTTCAGCCTCACTTAGTCTCTGTTTCAAATTCTGTTGAAAGTGCTTCTACTGTAAATAACACAGAAGCTTTTCAGATATTTTATAATGATACTGTCAAATTATTATAAGCAAAAATGGTCTGAATCACATTTAGCGTCATATTCTCTGCTTCTGCTTGTAAGTCAAGCCGCTGCTGTTGGGAGGGAACCAGTCGAATATCCTTTTAACCAAAATCTCCTCAACAAAATAATCATCTTTAATAAGACAATGTCCTTCGATTTGACCTCCCTCTTTTTCTCTGCCTGCCTTTTTACTTTGGATCAGCTCGGCCAGTTTGTAGAGAAAGCCGACTCACAGCGAAACTGTTATCAGCTCCTGCAGAGAGACGTGGAACATTTATCATCCGTGAATGTATCAGATGATTGGAAGTGTTCTTCACATTGTGTGTGAGGGTCTGATTCCTGTGTGCGTGTGTGTGTGCGTGTGCATGTGTGTGTGTAATATTATCCATAATTACTGGAGGAAAAAAAACATGGCTTGTGCCACTAATGCTTCTGTCCAGTCCCAGAAGGAAGCTGAACTGGAAAGTAAAGGGGGGAATGTATTATAATGTAATGTACAGTTAAACCAGTTCTGTGGAATTAATTTAATAAGACTTAATTACTTAATTGCATGAAGTGTGGCCTTTATAAAATATGTGGAGTGTCTTGATATTAATAGATATTATTAGTTAGTCAGTACATGGTAAACATTTTGTGACGGTGCATTAACTTAAAAATGTTAAGAGGATTCTAGCTGCTAATATTTATAGCTACAGTGAGTGTGATTTCACCTTTTAATGCATAAAGTTTTCAATGTGTTTTCAATTTTTTGTTGTAAGATGAATTTGACTAAAAGCTTTGCACACATTTGGTCTCATGAGACAAAAATCCAGACTTCCACTGGTTTGTTGTCCATGTTGCTTGGCTGGATCATTTCTCTCCGTCTTAATGGTCAGACTTAAATGGTCGCCTCCAAATCACTGATGGTGAAATGTGTTGGAATGGGACTCAAATCTGAGCTTAGTTATTTGTTAATTGTGTGTTATATGATCGGAATTGTTAAATAGAGGGGAAAAAAGCGCTTTTTATTAATTTGCAAATAAATGATTACAGTTAGGCCTACAAGTATTTGGACAGTGGCTCAATTGTGATAATTTTGTCTCTGTACACCAACACAGCAGGTTTAAATCAAACATTCAAGATGTGATTTCCAGCTTTAATTCAAAGGGTTTAACCAAAGTATTGCATTAACTGTTACAACTGTTTATATGTAAGGAAGCAGATATTGCCTGGTTGTAGATTTATTTAACGTCCCTCTGTCCTCATGAACTTAATTTAGAACAGCAGTTGAACATTTTCAGTATTCAAGGTCAGTATCACTCAATTTCAGTTACTTTTTGGGGATGGCATTTATAGCCTTTAAGTATGCCGTTTAAAATGTGCTGTAATTAATCCTTAGGCCAAACACTCAGAAGGAATGCTAAACTGCACTTTCCTTTTTAACCAGAGCTCGTCCCTCGTGTGTTTGAACCTACATGTACTATAATACTTGACAAAAACGGTTTGATGGTTTCTTCGATTTAGCTTTTGAAATGATACTTTTATGTTTTTAGGGATGTTGTAAATGTTTTGTATCAGTCTTGGTGGTGCAGGGTGGTTTTCTGCTGCTGATGCAGCCTTTCCTGCATTTCTTTGGTCATAAACACGAGACAGAGGAGGAGGAAAGATTAATGATCAGGGACAGAAGATCTTCTTCCCCTTTCCCCTATTATGCATTATTCATAGGCAGGGCTCGAGTACCTCTGGGACACACACACACACACACACACACACACACACACACACACACACACACACGCCCTGTAAATATCTCTGTTGCTGCAGTCTGTCTAGTGGCTGGCTTTTCTTTCCATGTGTCCACCTCTACTCCATTTATTGTAAGTTCTGGTGTCACAGCAGCACACCCTCTTACTGCATTTAACAGAAACACACAATGTTTGGTTTCGTTTGAATGATTTATGACACAGCGTCGGCGGAGAGATGAGTTCACCCTGAATGCTCTGTCTGCGAGTGTACCATGTGGTCTGGGTGGGGCCAATAGATGGAGACCTAGTTATGTCTAAAGGTGATGCAAGGAAGGGTGGATGTTACACACCAGGAGCCAATGTGAATGATAGATTTTGTTCTTCTCAAGAAACTTTACATTCCAAATACCAGAGCAAATGTTAAAAACATATAGTTGTAAAAATATGTAATAATGTGCTCTAGCATAGCGTTTTGTGTTTATGGATTTTGTTCAGTAGTTTATTTTCTTTTAAAGCGTTCTCCTTTCTTTAAATTGCTTTATCATCTTTACACAAATCAGGGTTCCCCCGGTGAGAAAACAGCTTCAGTTTAGGAACATTTGGGGAACACCCAGTCTGTGATTTCAGCTGATAAAACACCTACTGCCTTACATAAAAACCATTCCCAGCGTGGCTTTAATCCCAACTTTAATCTCACAAAAGACAGATGAAAGGGATCTCATGTGAGCACTCTCCCGTCAGACTGCAAACTGCTGATTCACAAACAGCTGTGGAACTTTGAATCATGAGACGAGCAGAGGAGATGTTTTACATCCTGAAACATTTGCATTTTGAGAAACTAAGAAGTATTTAGAAACAAGGATTGTGATATGAACACAGGACAGCAGTATAATTCTTTAAAACGAAGCTATAATTATTATTGGAATTATTTTTATTCTAGTGCAGATACAGTACACGACTAATGGTTTCTGATCTAAAACTAGCGTCTTTTTTTCATTTCATTCCTTGGAATATGATTAGGCCGATGTCTCTCCAGATCAGTTCATCCTGATGCAACAAGCTATGTTTTAGTTCCTGAGCAGTCTGAGACATTAGCTTTGTGTCAAAGGATGTTTTTCACCCCTAGATGGATGATGTTTGGTCAGTTTTCCAGGATTAGAATTAGGACTCAACTTTATTGTCATTACAGATGTATAAATACAGGGTAATGAAATACAGTTTGCATCTAATCAGAAGTGCAGGAGCAGTAAGTGCAATAGGAGCAGATTATATACAGATAAGGGTAAAAGGTGGGAATAGTTATGAACAGATTATGTACAAATAAGTTATGTATACAGAAGGAAACTGTTTCCAGGGCCTACTCCGTGGATCGGCTTCCTCCGAGGCGTGGACGTCTATCAGCAGAGAATGTACCTTCACCTATCAGCAGAGAATGTCCCTTAGTCTGTAACACAGTCAAATATATTCTCAAGTAATATTCAAGCATGCCATTCAGCGTGTTAGTACGAGCAGCTCGGGAGCAGCTTGGGAGAACAAGAAAACAGAGACTGCTTTAGATTGTCTTCCCAAAGTGACTCAACTTTATTCACAAGTACAACAGTTTATATAGAGGGTAAAATTCATGAGACAGCAGATTATCAGTTTAAACCAGTACAGACCAAGATAAGGCAGCGTCTTCCTGCCCTTGGGTGAAGAAGCATCCTTTGTGTAGTTTATTAGTTCAGCTACAATTGTGATTATCTCAGCGACATATTTTCAAGGCACAAAACGAAGAGTTCTTTCATTAGTGAAATCTGAAACAAACCATTTGGCCTTCAACAGGCGTCTAAAAGATTAAGAAACTAATGTAGCTGAGGGAGTGATCTCTGTGGTATTTCAACCTTGTACCAGCCTGTGATTCTCACACATCAATTCTTGGGTCAAAGAGAAAAACACTGAAACAAAGGGGCCTTATTGAATGACAGAGTTTTCCTGCATAATGTCACTATAAAACAATATCCAGTAAATGCTCCCATGGTACTAAAATACCTAACAGTTCCACTCTTTTTTTATTATTATTTTTTAAAAAAAAATAATAACTCAAATAGAAAGGAAAACTCACAAATGTAATAACATAATATAAAAAGCAAATCATAAAATGTAATAGTTCACAACCTAATGTTCAATATACACATCAGGAACATCATTGGTAACATCTGGCACATCCTCAGGATTAATTTGTGCTAATTGCAAATACATTGAAGTAGCTGTACTAGTAGCTATACGGGTTATCATTGAGAATGTGGCTTGCAGAAATGTGAACAGGGTTGCACTTTACAATACGAAATAGTAAATAAAAATCCTAAGGTTAATGCAGTAGATATGATTAATAACCTAAATATATAAAAAAGACAGTTCTTTAGTCGTCTCCTGGCCTGGTCCCAAGTTCGAGAGACACCGTATAAGCGTCATGTGATGACAATGGGCATTTCATTTTCTCCATTATCAGGATGAAACGAGTCTATCTTTATCAGGTTAGACATTGTGTGGTACTCTAGGCTTTCTGTTCCTGCTGGATGTTCGAGTACCTTGTTGTTGTTCAGGCGGGGGATCAAAGGGCTTTCTGAGTCTTGGCTCTTTCAGGCGTTGTGTGTTAATCAGTGATTGTGTGTGTGTAGGTGTATTGGATCCGGGCGTTGGCTCGCCTGAGTCGTCATCTATAGGTGTATTGAATCCGGGCGCTGGCTCGCCGGAGACGTCATCTACTTGATCCGACGCCTTAGGTGGTTTGGTGGGGCTGGTCTTAACCCTGCTGGCATGAATCCACTGAGGTTGTCCGTCTGTTAGGATGCTGGTTCTCGTCACTGCAAGTACAGTCTGGGGGCTGGAACACGCGGCCTCCCCGAGTGCCCTTGGTTTTAGCGACTTTACCAATACCGCATCTCCTGGTTTCCACGGATGGGTTGGATCTGTGGAAGGGAGAGGCTGAGAGAGACAAACTTTCTGATAGTTATTATTCAGTGTTTCTACCAGGTTATGAACATAGTCAGACAATGCAGTGTCTATGTCCCCTTCCAATAGCGGTGCCCCTCTGGAGGCTGACCATGGTGTTGGAAACGGTCTTCCCATGATTATTTCAAATGGAGATAATTTGGTTGCTGCGGATGGAGTCATTCTAATCTCGCAGAGGATTTGAGGAAGTAATTTGACCCAGGTCATTCCTGTTTCTATCATTGCTTTAGTCAGGCGATTTTTTATGGTCCTATTCATTCTTTCTACAACTCCTGAACTCTGAGGATGGTATGGCACATGATATTTCCAGTCTATTGCTAGAGTTTTAGCACACTTTTGAATTACTTCTGATGTGAATGAAGGTCCTCTATCACTGTTAATTTGGTGAGGTATTCCAAATCTGGGTATTATTTCATTGCACAACTTTTGACAGACTACTTCTGCAGTTTCTTTTGATGTTGGGTAAGCTTCTACCCATTTACTAAATTGGTCCACTATTACCAGTAAGTACTTGATGCTTCCTTGTGCTGGCATGTGTGTAAAATCAATTTGTAATGTATGAAATGGGAAATCTGGTTGTGGTAAATGCTGATGTTTTGCTTTTGGTTTTCCTACATTAGTTCGTGCACATGTTAGACAGGTTGCTAATATGCGTTTTACTGCGTGTGATGTTTTCTCGATTACAAATCTTGATTTTATTGCTCCTATTACCCCTCTTTGTCCGACATGACTCACACCGTGAAAATGGCGGACAAGGATTGGCAGTAGTGAAGATGGGAGGGCAATCAAACCCTCAAGGTTTTTGTATAAGCCGTCTCTGTTATCGAAGGTACAATCATTACTTTCCCAGTAAGTGTAATCTAAGGCAGAGGCCTGCTCTTGTATGAATTTTAGGTCAACATTTGTTTCTAAATAGTCTGGGAGCGTGACAAGTGGCAGCTGTAAAGGCAAAGATAATACTTCCCTTCTGGGTGGTTGCTGTGAGGCAGCAGCTGCTTTCGCGGTTACGTCTGCAAGAGCATTTCCCACTGCTTCGTCTGTGTCAGCCGTGCTGTGCCCCTTCGTTTTAACAACTGCAATTGCCGATGGCAGCTGTATAGCCTGCAAAAGTCTTTGAACAAGGTCAGAATTAGCGATCGATTTTCCATCAGCAGATCTAAATCCTCTTTGTCTCCACAATGTGCCAAAGTCATGCACCACACCGAATGCATAACGGCTATCAGTGTAAATTGTTACCCGCTTATCCACATGTAACTCACAGGCGCGTATTAAAGCCATGAGTTCTGCTTTTTGTGCTGAGTGAAATGGTAATGAGTGAGCCTCTAGTATGATGTCAGGCAATGTCACCACCGAATAGCCACAAAGAAATAAGTTGTCATTTGGTTTTGAACAGGACCCGTCCACATAAACAATGACTGAGTCTGGGATTGGTGTCTGCTCTAAGTCTGGGCGTGGTGCTGTGGATTCCTGTATACGTGTCATGCAATCATGATTGTCAGGGTCGTCTGAACCATCCTGTCGGTCAGAGGAACACAGCATATGAATAAGTAAGTGTGCTGGCGAATTGGGTGTGCTGCTTGCTTTTATAGTGAGATTTGCTGTTGAAGTCAGTGTAGCTTCATAACCTGAGCGACGTTGTGCGGTCATGTGTTGTGTAGTTATGTTTGCTAGAATGGTCGTGACCTGGTGATTGGTGTGTAGAATAGTGTCATGTGAGAGTGTGAGCTTCTCGGAGTCCCTTATCATGATAGAGCAAGCTGCTACTGCTCTCAGGCAGGCCGGCATCCCCTGAACTACTGCTGGCAGCACCTTTGAGTAGAAGGCTACTGGACGGTAGCCACAGCCATGCTCTTGGGCCAATACACCTGCACAGGTTGTGCCGTTCTCTGTGACGTACAGGTGGAACGGTAAGTGGTAGTCAGGCAGACCCAAACAAGGGGCGGAGGTCAGCGCTCCCTGTAATGCATTGAAAGAGGCAGTCATTTCTGTGGACCACAGTATTCGAGGAGGCTTGTCTTTTTTGCAGCATTCACGCAGAATGTGGTCATGAAAAGAACAGTCTGGTATCCACTGTCTGCAATAGTTCACCATGCCTAGGAAAGACAGCATTTCTTTCTGTGTAGTGGGCTTAGGGACAGAGGTCACAGCTTTGACCCTGTCTGTAGTCATAGAACGTTGTCCGTGAGACAGTGTAAATCCCAAATATTGAACAGAAGTCTGACAGTACTGCATTTTCTTTGCTGATGCTTTGTGGCCAGTCTGTTGGAGATGCTGGAGTAGCATGTGTGTGGCAGTTTGACATAGTTTTTCACTTTCAGCACAGAGGAGGAGATCATCTACATACTGGATCAGAGTACAGCCCTCTGGAGGAGTGAAGCCGTCCAGGGTAGCACGTACTACCATTGAGAAAGCCGCAGGGCTGTCTACCATGCCTTGGGGTAAGCGAGTCCATGTGTACTGCTTATCTCTATGTGTAAAAGCAAATATCGGCTGTGTGTCTTCATGCACAGGTACTGAGAAAAAGGCGGAGCACAAATCCACCACAGTAAAATGTGTAGCTGTTGCTGGAATAGATGTCAGTATGCTGGGAACATCTGGAACCAGAGGTGGCAGAGGCATAATGACTGCATTAACTTGCCTTAAGTCTTGCGTGAAACGCCATATGCCAGGTTTGTTAGGCTTTGGCACAGGATTGACAGGAGTGTTATATGGAGATACTGTGGGCTTTATTACTCCAGCTGTCAATAAATCTCCTATGATGATGTCTAGGGCTGCGGTTTTTTCAGCGGAAATGGGATATTGCTTGACATATACTTGCTTGTTGTGTTTCAGCTGAGCATGATAAGGTGTACAGTCAATAAATCCTACATCATTCTCACCTCTTGACCATAATGTCATGTTCTGATATTCAGCTGGCAATGTGACAGCAGAGATAGTACAGTGTATGGGGTAGGTTAGATCTATGTGTCGACATGGTGCAGTGATGTCATAGCCCATGTCTGAGTTATGTGACAAAACCACTGTTTGGCCTTCACTGGTGTGAGCAGTTATCATGTTGTTGAACAGTGTGAGAGAAACAAATATGTGGCTTCCAGGCATGGGGCTACCTGGTAACGGTGTTTGCACATGTTTTTGACACAGAGTGTGACGTGGGATACCAGTCAGATGGATATTGAGTTCATTCTCCGCTGAGGCGTCCAGCTGACACAGAGGCTGTTCCTTCTCCATGGTGTCGGTGCATAGGGCAGAGAAAACATAGCTGTTATCAGTATCTGCAAACATTTCACCCTTTGTGTTAAATGAAATACACAAGTTCATTTTTGCCATTAAATCTCTGCCTAATAGATTCACAGGCGAGTTTGGAATAATTATGAATGGATGATATGTAATTTCATCTGGTTTTGGGCCCCAGCGTGTTTTTAGAGAATGAGTTTTGGGGCATTGCACTAGAGTTCCGTTTATTCCCATGGTGTTGATGCACACAGAGGAAACAGGCCCACTATAGAATTTTCCAGACAGTGAACTTTTAGTGGCTCCACTGTCAACTAAAAAGGAATAAGTCTTTTCACCTATCTCTATATCTAACATGGGCAAGCCTTCTGTGTTACGGGACAATTGCAAATGCAGCATCGTGTGTAGTGCTTCACACTGTCCCTCATCATCACCTGGGCCTCCCTATTGTCGGTCCAGTCTTTCGTTATCATATGGGTGGGGATTAAAATGTGGATTATAAGGTTGCTGCCTAAGTGCAAAGGGGCCATTATTTTGATGTGATTCCTGTCTGCGTTGCCAGTTACCTTGTCTGCAAGAGCTCTGCTTACGCCTAGTGGCAGGAGCTGGTCCTGTGTTTTGTGGTTGAGACCTATGTGCCGCTGATTTGCATTCCCTCCTCCAGTGTCCTATTATTCCACAATAAAAACATACGTCTCCACTCCTATCTTTCCTTCTGAAATCTCCCTGCTGCGCTTGTTGAGGGGGCGGGGCCCCTGCATACATCATTTTCTCACTTTCCTCTGAGCCTTCAACATCAAAATTCAACAACATCTTAACAGTTTTAGCCTTCGTGCTGTTGGGGAAAAGATCTGCACCAGCTTTTGTTTTGACAAGTGTGATAAAGTTCTTTATTTTCATGTCATAGAGATTATCAGTGGCAGTCAGCTTCAATAGTTGTGAACATTCTGGATGAATATTGTTTAAGAATGTTGTTATGAAAATCTGATCATTTCCTCCTTCAGGCATGCATGCCTCATTAGTCCAGCAGTGTGTGAAACGTTTCATAAACACTAGAATGGATTCATCTGGCTTTTGCTTACACATGGTTACTGCATTTAAATCAATTTTATCTCTAGACATTGTGAGCAGAAATTTCTTTAGATTTTGAAAAAAGGCTGTGATTTTGTCATCATTTATCCACAAAAACGAGGTGGTGTTGGCTGCTTGGTCATTTTTAGGGTCTAGTTCCTCTACTTCTTCAATAAGCTGAGATTCAGTCACACCTGGAATTCGTTGACATAATATATATCTATAGTCAGGCCCACCCAAGTGGTGGTATCTGGTACTTCTCTGTAATGCAGAAACAAAGGCTGTAGGATTTTGTAGAGGATCGGGAAGTTCTTTAATGGTTGCTGCTAACTCTGAAATTTTAGGGGGTTGAATGCAACACATGTCCCCTATTATCATGAACGGGAGGGAGGTGCTGACGTCATTAAATTGTGATCCCTGCTTTTCTTTATAACGGGTGTTTTTGTGGGGGCCCTCTTGAGTTTTTTCCTCTTTTCTCTGCTTTAAGTAGTTCCTTATTAAATTTCTGGTGTTAGTTATTGCTTTTGTCACAGTCAAACCATTCGCTACTCTAGTGTGGCGCTGAACATGATTATCTATGACAGAAACGGCTTCCTGCAGTTCAGCTTCCGTACGTTCAGTTAAAGGATCTTTCATGATTTCCTCACACTCTGCCATTAACTGTTTTGTTTGCTTTTTATGTTCCTGTAACTCTCTTTCTCGTTCAGTGTATTCTCGTTCCTGTCTTTGATCTAGGTTAAACCAGTCATCTTCTTCTGATTTAGGTGTCATTTCAGTGCCTTCCTCACTCTTTTGGGATTCTGCTGTTAAATCAGGATATACGCGCTGATGACGTGCAGCCGCCGCAGCAGCTATTAATTCTGTTTTTTCATCATAAGGCGGCGGAGCCGTAGGTTGAACGGATGGGCATATAAGGCTAGTTTTTTCTGCAGTGGATTTACTAGAGCCTACACTGGCTTGATTTAAAGCATTTACGTCTGGCTCGAGTCCTTTTTTCCATAGTGGTAGCATGCGATTGGTCACATCACGACATTCTATCATATATTTTTTACAGGACTTTTTAATCAGCCTACTTTTCTTATCACAAATAGTATTTAACATTTCTACTGACCTGTTTTCTGGCGATAATCGTTCGGGATAGGGCTCCGGAAATACATTAGGATGCATTAAAGTTATAGTTCTTAAGTTAGAGACGAAATCAGTCACGTAAGCACTTCCGCATGTTCTGGATACGTAATCATGGAAGTCTTCATTGATTCGCGAGCGTGGGTTAAACGTAACCGGAAGTGGGAGTCGTACTGAGCCGCTATTTGTGATTTTATATTTTATTTTTTTTGGTTTTACAGTTAATTTTGATTTTTTATCGGACCCGTCTAAGGTCTTTGAATTATTCTGACCCATGGTCAGTGATTTCCAGAGGGGTTTAGACGCTTTGAAGGTTTTAAGTTAGTTTTTATTTTTGCTGTGGCACACCTGAGGTTACTTGATTTTTTTGCTAGCAATTTTATCTTTTTAGTGAGCAACTTCTCACTTTTTAACGAGCAACTTCTCGTTTTATGACCCCAGGCAACTTCCTGTGTCCTTTCTGCTGGTGAGCAACTTCTTAGTTTATGACAGCAGGCAACTTCCTGTGTCCTTTCTGCTTTTATTTACAAAACAACAGGCAACTTCCTGTGTTTCTATGTGGGCCACTAAAGAAGGCTCCTCAGTGTATCCCACTTGTTACTATGTGGGCCACTGAAGAAGGCCTCGTCAGCGTATCCCGTTTCTATGTGGATCACTGAGAAAGGCATAACACAGTCTTATAAAATAAAAAGACAAGTGCCTACCTTCGTCAGGATCCCACTTCTGACACCAAAATTGAAGGAAACTGTTTCCAGGGCCTACTCCGTGGATCGGCTTCCTCCGAGGCGTGGACGTCTATCAGCAGAGAATGTACCTTCACCTATCAGCAGAGAATGTCCCTTAGTCTGTAACACAGTCAAATATATTCTCAAGTAATATTCAAGCATGCCATTCAGCGTGTTAGTACGAGCAGCTCGGGAGCAGCTTGGGAGAACAAGAAAACAGAGACTGCTTTAGATTGTCTTCCCAAAGTGACTCAACTTTATTCACAAGTACAACAGTTTATATAGAGGGTAAAATTCATGAGACAGCAGATTTATCAGTTTAAACCAGTACAGACCAAGATAAGGCAGCGTCTTCCTGCCCTTGGGTGAAGAAGCATCCTTTGTGTAGTTTATTAGTTCAGCTACAATTGTGATTATCTCAGCGACATATTTTCAAGGCACAAAACGAAGAGTTCTTTCATTAGTGAAATCTGAAACAAACCATTTGGCCTTCAACAGGCATCTAAAAGATTAAGAAACTAATGTAGCTGAGGGAGTGATCTCTGTGGTATTTCAACCTTGTACCAGCCTGTGATTCTCACACATCAATTCTTGGGTCAAAGAGAAAAACACTGAAACAAAGGGGCCTTATTGAATGACAGAGTTTTCCTGCATAATGTCACTATAAAACAATATCCAGTAAATGCTACCATGGTACTAAAATACCTAACATATACAGATGTTTATATTGCTATACAGAGAGCAAATATATAGATGTACTATGGACAAATGTACAGATGATCTGTATAGCATACAGATGTTCTATATTGCTATACAGATGGCCAGATATACATGTGCTACATATATACAGATGTATCAATGTGTGGTAAACAGATATACAGTGGTTTATGTAGGATGTATAATATACTACTGTGTCTTTCTATTTCTGCCCTGGATGTGCACGTGTGTAAATGGCAGATGGACTGATTCTTATATAGCGCTTTTCTACCCTCCCGGAGTACTCAAAGTGCTCTATACAACATGCCACCTTCACCCAATCACACAAGATGTATCTTCTGTGCTTTTTTAAGTGCTATGTAACTAACCCATTCACACACATTCATACTCTGATGGATGCATCGGAGAGCATCTTGGGGTTAATGTCTTGCCCAAGGATATTTGGCATGCAGACTAGGGGGAGCCAGGGATCAAACTACCAACCTTCCGATCAGTAGATGACCTCCTCTACCCCCTGAGCTACCCCAGGCTGGACATGTGTGATTCACATGTCCAGCCTATATCCGTAAGCAAATGACCTATTTAGTCTACGCTGTCTGATTAGCCTCTAACACATAGCTCTGGAGTTTCTTTAAAATAACCCTTATAGTTTTTTTTTTATATGAACAAACTAACGATATATTTTAGATTGACCGTTTTAGTGAGTAACTTTCAAGAGAGGAGAATTTGGAGAAAGAATGGAGGAGATTTAGAGCAGAAACATGATGAGGAGAATGACATTGCTATTGGAGATCAGCACAAAAAATAAGGACATCTGTGTTTGGTCGATTATTCTTTTGTTGTAACAGGGCTTCTTGGCAATCTGTTGGAAAGCCTGTTTATTCCCTTTTAAATGGTGCCAGATTTGTAACGAAAATGCATTTGTGGGTTGAGCAGCAGAGTTGAGTGTGTGGGTTGTGCCCATAAAAAATTGCCAAATCTTCTCTGCCAAGGCCAAACAGCTTATTCTGCTATTAAATCTTGTTTGGTGTCGTTTACTGAATTGATCTGAAGGAACAAGAAATACGGGCAATTTAAGAATATATTCATTTAACAAACAGGGACCTCAGTAATGTGGAAGAAGCATACACAGCCACAGCCTGGCACCTCCTCCCCATGCTGATCATACATTACTGTGGGATGGCATCCCATTCTTCAACTTGGTCACTCTGGCATGACGTGCACGCCTAAGCTGATACCACAAGTTTCCAGTGGGCTTGAGGTCCGAACTTCAGGCAGGTGATAAACCCAGTCTGCGGGGGCGTTGTCATCCTGGAAGACAGAGTTCAGTCCCAGACTGTGGAGATATGAAATTGCCACCGGTTGCAGAATCTCATCTCGATATCTCTCTGCTTTAAAATTGCTGCCGATGACGACAAACCTTGTTTTTCCAGTGAGGGTGATGCTGCACCGCACCATCACACTGCCTCCAACAAAAGCTGTTACACTAGCAGTGCAGCAATGGGCATAGCACGCTGCATGTCTTCTCCACACTTTGACCCTACAGTCCAACTGTAGAAGGCACAATCTGGACTCATTGTTCAACATAATGTTCCTCCACATGTTCAGGCTCCAGTGCACATGTTGCTGACATCGACTGGTCTGAGGGTGAAGGGCAGGCATGGCAGACCTCTTGGCAGCCCTGTGAGACCAAAGATTGGCTGTGTTCAGTCTGTTTCAGATCGCCTGTGTAGAGACGCGTTGGCCATACTGCTCCACAAACCTTCACTAAAAATCTGTGGAAGAGTTGTAATTGCAGATCTCGTTACAGGTGATTAGATCTGTGTTTTTTTTTTAGTTGTGTGGTATCGTCCTGTCCTCATCATGACGACTATTAGCATCATTTTTGAGTCATTCTCTTTGTTCTGTATTGTTTTGTATTTGTGACCACAACATATTACTCAAACGACTGG